AACTACCATTTTGGTTATCCCAACTTTTGGTTGGTACCCGCTGTTTTTAAGTCCACATTTGGCTGACAATCTTTGCATTATGAACATCCCCACAGTTTGCAAATTTCTGGGTTCTTTTGGTATTCAATCACCTTTTACCTTGAATGTTTGAAAGCAGTCGATTTTCATCCCTTCAGATCCAAGTTGTTTAAATAGACACAAATGTAGCACCCCAATATTTGCCCATCTCTTCTCTTGTGTCTTGGCTTATGTTTCATTGCATTTTTATTCTCATTATTTCATAGCATAGTTCTAAGCAAGGTATCAAGGTATTATGGTTTGTTTCTCAAGAAAGAGGGACTTGTTTCTTCAAACTCAAGCAAGGTTTTCTTCTTGACTTTGTGGCATTCTCAAGCCATAAGGTACCTTACCATCAAGTGTGATTCAAGGAAATATCAGTTCAAGATCATTTTTGATTCACCGTGTCTTAGTTTGCAAGAAATAATCAAGAGATTCAAAGTTGGTTCAAGGTGTTTGACCTAATTTAACAAATTGTGGATGCAATGATCAAATGGGCATAACTTCTTCAATTTTCAACATCTTGAGGTGGTTCTTTTTATAATGAACTCTTATCATCATCCCCAACAAGTTATCTTTGCAAAGAAAGGTCCAACTTTGCTTGGAAAGTCATTAAAAGTGTGAAGACATTATAGGTCATTTTGAGTTTTGAAGAGATTTTCTAGTCAACTTCCAAAGGTTATAACTTGGTTAATTTTCATCATTTGGAGCCCATTATTTTTCTAAAATGAATTTGAAGATGCCTTCTACAACTTTAATTCAACATGGAAGTTCCAAAAGCCTATGGAAGGCCTTGGATTTATTCAAAATATTATAGGTCATTTTTGGTCCCTAAAAAGACTTGAAATTTTTCTAAGTGTTTTTTGATTTTGAACCTTTTGATGCAAGCTACATTGAAGGATTATATCTCTCAGCTCAGATTTCCAAATTAATACTTTCTTTTCACATTACAAAGATCATATCTCCCTCTATCCAATGCAAGAAGAATCAGCTCATAAAGCCTCCTACATTGTGAGAACCATGGTTGCAAATTTTGATTTTCAAGGTTGAGTTTTCACTTGAAGTCAGAATTTAATTTGGTTAATATAGCCTCTAATCACCAAATTAAGGCACGAAATCAGTTTGAACATGATTAACAAACTTGCCTAGCCTAATTAGAGCAGTGAAATGCATGTTTTGGATGAGTTTTGGCATGCTACAAGTCACACTTTGCTCATGACACATGTGTGCACGGATTCGTTTCATTTGGCATCATTCACCCTCCCTCAGCCTTCCAAACTTCTCTCCTATAAATAAGGACTCGATTCCACCCATTTCCACAAGCTTTGATAGCCAGAATCACCCTGCTGAGATCCCATTTGAACTCTTAAGCTTGAAATTCTTTTTTTCATTTACAAACCTTAATCACTCAAAATATCCATTCATTTAGCTTCACCATCATTCAGTGAAGCTAACCAGCTCAAGAACTTGAAGAATCGTGGCCTGAATCAAGCTTGAGGACTCCATTTTCAAAGCTTCAAAGTTGAACTTCAACAGGTACAATTCTCAACCATTTTGACTCAAACTTGTTGCTAAGATGTAGTCCTTGATGTGCTGATGTTGTTAGGATTGTTAGATTTTAGCTTTGGTTGAGTTTAGCATGTTAATTTTCAAATATGTGTTTTGATTTTCTTCTGGTTTTTTCCAAATCGAGTGAGATGTGTTTTATAGAAATTTGGCGCGACGATATGGTTGAGATCATCTTGAAAATACGCATCAAATGAAACCACTATGAGCTCCAACAGTTATGGTTTGGAGGATCCACAATTTTTTGCATATTCCTTTGGATTTTGAATGGCTAGAGGTTGAAGATGACAAGCTGCCACCATCTGACCGTCCATGCCTGACAGTAGTTATAATCCTGTGCTTCTAATTTTTTTTGGCTCCGTGTGGTTGAGTTGACTTGAGTCTATCATGGATGCGCGCTTTTGGATCACTAGATCATCCTCGTCATTTAATGAGCTCAGATCCAACGCGCCATAGTTTTTCTATTTTATTTTATTTTTGAAAATTATTTTTAATTTCATTTTACTTTCAGAAATTCAAAGACAATCCATTTTTCATCAGAAAAATACCAAAATATTTTCCTTTTATTTCCTTTTATTTTTTTCTTTTTGATTTCCATTTTTGTGCATTTTTATTTTTCATTTTGCTATTTTTCTTGTTTTTTTGTTTGTTTAGTTAATTTTAATTGGTTTAAAATTACTTTTAAGCCATTTAAAATTATGAGAAAAAATGTCATATGATCCTATGATGGTCTTTGACCTATGGTGATTTTATTCATTTTTTATTTGTGATCTTGCTATTTTTCAAGAATTTTTGGTTTATGTGCTTGATTTTAATTAGTTTTAAATTGTTTTTGGGCACTTTAAAATTGTCAGAAAATTAGTACATGATCCTATGATGTTTTATGACCTATGGTGATTTTCTTGGGTTCTTGTTTGTGTTTAAACGGTTTTCCATCTTTTATGATGTGATTTATTTGCCTTTTTATTTGTTTTTTAATTGATTTTAAATTGCAAAATTGTGCAAAAGTGTTTTTATTAGTCCATGTTTGGATGGCATTCTGTTTTTCTTCAAGTCATTTGGACTTATGTGCTTGTTTGTTGTTGCTTTTCTTTTGTGGATGATTTTGGTGTTTGATTCTTTTTAAGGCATGTTTTTTTATTTCAACTTGTGTGATCTCTTTTGTGTGTTCATGGATAGATGTTAAATTTGTTGATCAAGTTGATGTTTTGGTTTCATCTTGGTTTCATGTCATGCACATATGCTTTTCCCTTTTAGGTTGGTGTATGCATGTTTGTTTTGTTTTAACTTGTGGCTTGCTTTTGAATGGGATGTATGTTTTTGATATCTTTGTACTCTCTCTTTGATCATTGACATGATTGAAATATAATATGTTATGCTACAACTCTACCATGTTTCTTGTGCCATTTGATATTATTTCATCTTGATTTTTGATTGATGATGGTTATAGAAGATGTTTGGATGTGTGTGGGCATTTTATTCTTCTATTATGTTTTGTTCTCAATTCATGTGATATGGTTAGACTTGTATATGTTTATTTTATATGTTGACTTGATGTTGATGCTTACCTTGTATGAGATTGAAATGAGTTGTATTTGATACTTCTTTGTCATTTGAACTTCCATGTTTGTTCTTCTAGATTGTATCTTCCTTTTTCTTCATCTCTTTTCTCTTTGTCACACCCTAATTTTAACCCTAAGATCTCACCTCTTCATGCATCATTTGGCATAACATTTCTAGGACAATATACATGTATGACTAACCAATCTTTATACTTTATTATTTATGTCTGTTCACTGTTCTATTAGGGATTTGCTTCAAACGATATCTCAAGAGTTAGACAGTCAAGTATTGAATGCACCATCAGCCAGGTACACTAGGTGCAAGTGAAAACTCATTCTAACAAGTACCTCAAGATATAACTAGCTATTTCTGATCCAAGGTAATCCTAGAGTTTTCCTATTGGGTCACTCCCCTCAGGTTTCTTTAGAAGTTTCAGTATATACTCAAGGAGCACTAGGGCTTTCTCTTTTTTGATATCGAGCATAGGAATTTGAGAACTAGGACATTGATCTCAAACCCAAGTCTGTTGGGGTCTTAGTGCATTAGGATTATGAGTCTAGAATTCCAAGCCTAGTCATAATCTGGTGTTGTCTTGAGAGTACTATTCTTGGAAGAATTTTGGGCCATTGTTAAGAATTTTTATAGCATGATCATGATAGTCACCATTCAAACGTCCAAATTCGAAGGAATGGTTTGCCATGATAAACGTTCTCATAGATTTGGCTATTTGATTTTAAAACTTGTGATTCAATTTGATCCCAAGATTCAGGTTGTGTCCATAAAATTCAAACTGGAAGTATCAAATTCAAGTTCAAGACATCGTTTCAAGATTTCTGTGCAAGTTGAAATCTCAAAGAAGGTTTATGAAGATCAAGTATTTAATTCAAGGTCTTAATGTCATGATTTGTCAATAATGGATTCAAGGTTTTCCTCATGTGGTTTCTTAGTATATAAGATGCAAAGGCATACACCTCGTTTTCACACATTACCTAAGTTCAAAAATATTGAACACCATCTATTTTGAAATTCATTTGTCAAGTTCAAATATCATGGGCCATCACTAGAAAATTTCATGTCAATTTAAAGGAGGTTTTTTTTTACACGTGACTAGGATCACAAAATATTGTGTGCTCAAAATTACCAAAACATAAGGGCATGAAGGTTGTTTTAAAATTCTTTACCAAAGGCTATCACACCATATATCAGTACACCATTCGAACGTTTTCAAAGAACCGTACTCCTACCATACTTCAATTTATCCAAATTATACGGAAACATGAGCTTAAGAGTATTTAAAACTCAAAGCTTTCATTTCCAAATGTACAGTCTAAAATGTCAAGATACGGAAACATGAGCTTAAAAGTATTTAAAACTCAAAGCTTTCATTTACAAATGTACAGTCTAAAATGTCAAGATACAAAGACAACCAAAACATAACTTTCACAATGTGGTTCCAATTGCACTGCTCCATACGCTTCTCAAAATCTTTTGTTCATTTTGTTATGAACCCGAGTAACTTATATAAATCATCATGGGTGATGCTTTCAAGAAACCCACTTCAATTACAACTTTGGAGTATCGTCGTGCAAAATCCATGCCATGGAATCCAAAACTACGACAAGATTGACACCTGAAAAAGGGAGATTGTGAACCTATTAGTACACTACTAGAGCTCACGCAAGAATATATGAAGGCCCGAACCCTCCATCGCTATTAGTTTCAAACTTGCATAATGATATACTTGACATTGTTCACAAGATGAATAAATTTTACCTAAACAGAATCAAAGGCTGGGAGGAAATCGATCTGATGAGTTACAAATGAGATTGTTTCCCTTTGAGTCCTCCCATGATATATCCCTTCCAGGTTTCAAAGCCATCCTTAAAAAATAATAAGAAAACAATGTTAGAAATGTATAAGAAATAGCATGAGAAGAAAATACGTCACCACATTAAAAAAACCTAGACCCTTAAGGATAGGTGATCTTACCACCTGTCTCTCAAGTGCTCCCACGTTAACCTCTCCTTGAAGGCAAACAAAATTCAGCTTGATAGCTACGAACAACAAGTCCATCAGTGAAGAACCCTTCATAGCTAACAAGAAATAATGATTTGAAATTCATGAAAGAACAAGAAAGCAGTTTCAGGCTCTCACTTGACACAACCATCCTCTTCAACATAATCTCCTCCAAACCAACTCTACTCTTAGCAAGAGCTTCAATCCATGGATAAACAAAACTGCCCTAACCGTAAGGAACCAAACCGGAGTTAGGAAAATGAGGTTTTCCCTTTAAAGTCAACTTTATGAAATTAGGAAACCCCTCTGCCAACCTCTCGGGACCAATAGGGTAGCGGTTTCCTATGAACACCCTCTTCCTTGTAAACCCCTCCATTTTATACCAACTCTTGCATACCAAAGAAAAATGCGTTTCAAAAAACACAGAGGCTCATTCATCATGGATAGCATGCTGTTTCCATCCCGAAGAAAGAACTTGGCAATACTAGAATATATAATACAAGTAAAACTATTATCATGAACACAGTCAAACAATTACGCTTTTCATGGACAGATCACTTATTTAATATCCATTGATAGTGAAACAGTGCTTCAAGTACCTTGTTGTATGATTATGCTAGTAGTTGGAAAACATTAGGCGCCGTAATATGCTCCATCGTGACAATATGATACCTCACCTTAGGAATCCAAGTCAGCCAGGAAGAGGTTGGGCATCTGCATCAATAACCACACCATAAGTCACCAAATGTGAACAAACTACAAACATCAAGATCTCTCTAAAACAACCTGTACATGACCACCATCATCAAATCAACATAAACATGGAAAACTCATCAAATTCAATCAATTCCCTACCAAAACACATCCAAACATGCTTATGTAAATATGGCAGGAATTCATTGCAGAAATTACAGCTTAGGGACAAGGTTATAATTCATGATATGTTTTCCCAAAATAGAGTTGACAGAATAATCTTGAGCGTTAAAGTATAAATAAATTTGCACCCCAACAGATACCCCTATAAAGGCCATTCGCACAGGGCAAGAAAAAGGGAGGAGGTAGTCATCATACACAATACTCATACAAACATACTAGAGCAAGGAAATCACCAAAAAAAATCCATATCTTATACATATACGCGGTTGAAAGATTCCACAACACGCAAGGAGAGAAATAAAGACGTATTTGCAAAAAGGGGAGAACAACTAGAGGCGAAGGAACCAAATTTTCTAGCATACCAGGAAACCCTAGCGTTCTAACAGCAGAAGGAGAGAGGGGGAACTCGAAGTACTTATCTTTGGGGAGAAGGATCTCTGATATCTCTATTTCCAACTCTATCTCCGGCAAGCCATCACTCTTCTGGTAACGATTCCCTTTTACCTTTCCATGTTGGTTTGAAGCTTCGATTTCACTATGTTCATGTGCGATCTTGGAGCATTTGTACCCAGTTTCCGGCTGAAGGGTTAGGGTTCTTTCTTTTTGAATTCAGGATTTAGGTTTTTTTTCGTCGCGTTTTATTTATTTGAGGTTCGGAGGGGAAGGTCTCGACGAGAACTGATGAAGGTGAGAATGGACGGCTCCGTTGTGATAGTGTCATCGCCGTTGGTGTACATGGGTGCGGCGGAGGACTCCTTTGGGTTACAGGCAGGAGATATTGAAGAAGGAGACGAAGCGAGAGAACGGATTTAGGGATTTGTGGTTTCTTGGTTATGTTTGTGTTATATCCTCAATCCCATGCATGAGTATCTACGGTATTGTTGTGCACCCTCGCAGGCAGATCATAGATCCAAGTCCTTGGCTGATCAGACGGCCATGATCACAGGCGGACCATACTTATGGTGGACCTCTCCACTCCCGATCCGAAGCGTTTTTCTTTGTTTTTTTAGTCTATTATCTTTTCTACTTCAAAAATAATTTTGTATAAAAAAAGGAAGTAATATCTTTCTTTTTATCTATTTGTTTTTTCTTATAACTTAAAATTCACTAAATTTATCTCAAGATTAAATAAAATTTGGTTTTCCTTCTAGAAAACACCTTTAAATATAAATCACATTTAGTTGTTTTATAAATACTTTATGAAAATTTAATCATTACTTATAATTATCAATTATACCCGTTTTCTTATATTAATTTTATCAAGCGTCTGTGTCAGTCTAAGGTAGATAGTTATCTAATAGGGATGGAGGGCTTTATCCTAGATTTATATCAATCTTTTTATATAACTTTATGTTCTTGTGCATTCTTAGCTTTTACCTGTGCTTGACTTGTAATCTTATGGTATCTCATTTTATGAGTTGATCGTGCTGCATGCCTTATATGTTGAATATTCAATCATAATTCATAGTTGTAGCGCTTGGTACTCACATTTGTTTTCCTTTAACGATACAATTGCGCATGTCTATGTCCAAGGAAAGAACTTGTGTATGACCTTGTAACTTATATGCACTGCATTACTCATCTGCATCATTTCCCCCCGCTTAATCTCTGACTTTTCAGGTTGATCAACTTAGTTCTTCCTTACACATTAGGGTAGACGCCCTTAAGTTTTCAACATTAGTCAACTTGTCTTACATTAAATCCTATATTCTCCCCCACAAAGAGAATTAGACGTGATTCATCTGTGTAGTGGAGATGTAATTCTCCTACCTCATAACGCAATCGAGAAAGATGTAGAATCTTCCCCGCTTGAGAGAGGTATGTGGCATATTCGTCAATAAAAATCTGAATTGGAGCCCTTCTCTCAACGCGACGCAAAAACCGTCCTCGATACGTTTTTGGTGGTTAAATCGAGTACTCTCCCTATGATGACGACTCGTCTCTTCTCCTAGAATCAATCAACAAACCCTCTCCCCCCTGGAACTTTGACCATAGTCAATGGTTCCTCAATCCCTTTAGGGGAACTATAAATACTCTGATTCCACTTCCATCAAGATACGTAGGCACGAGATGCAATTTCTTGGCGAGTATACTTAGAAATAAACCCCTAGGTCTTTCACCCTTAGTAAACAACAATAACACGATAAAATAAGAGGTTCTTGTAGAGTACTACAAATGCTTAGGGTGCTAACACCTGTTAGACTATGGCACAGATCTAGAAGGGGGGTTGAATAGATCCCCAATTAAAATTTGAGTCGGCGCTACCAATTTGAAATTGGTTTTAAAAAAGTTTTAAGTGCGGAAGCGGCCGAGGAAAATTATAGTCTAAAACGAACGGTTATTGGAAAACCGGATATACGTAAGCCTATGGATTTATGACAATTCGGAAAAATAAAATCACAACACAAACTATGCTTATCAATTATTTACTTCAATTTGCAATGTTGCCTAGTTCCAATGAAAAACAAGGCACACAAAAACTAGAAGCAAAATAAGACAATTTTAGTTCAGGACTTTTGTCGAACAGTTTGTGTGCACAAATATCACAAAGGATATTTATGTTGAGTAAGAGATTGGAAATGCCTTAGTACAATATTCTTATTGTACTTAGTAGTTAAAACAGAGTTTCAACACCTTACTCAATTTGTATCACAGTTTGACAATAATCACTTAAGCTAGAATCACTTATTTTATAAGCTGAATTGAAAATGACAGAAAATGAAGAACACACGATTTGATGAGGCAGTTCCCTCGTTGTCCTCGCTTCGGGGTACGTCTGCCCTCAATTCTAAAATTAGAATTGAGATATATTGAATATATATCACCTGTTGGAATGAACAATTTACACAAGAGTTGATAGACAATGATACAAACAATCTCAAATGTTGTTGATGCTTGCTATCTCTTCTTGCACCTTGATTCAAGATGAATCAAGCCCTTCAATTTGTTGTGAATGACCTCCGGTTCCAGCCACCTTAATGAGAAACCTTCCGTTGTTCAAACCTTCGGCTCGGCTGATCTTAGACACCAACAAATCAAACCCGAAAAGTCTTCAACACTTCAACGCCCTCGCTACTAAATTGATGAACCTTCCGTTGATCAATTACCTTCGCACCTGCTTGAATGTTGAACGAACTATTCCGTAGCAAAAACCCTCAAAACCTTCTAGTCTTGATGGGTAAAACCCTCAAGGTTTTCTGCAAGAAACACCTGCCCCAATTTCCACTCGAACCGGATCTTCAATCAACGCGTTCGAACCTTATCACCCTTTGAACAAGACACTAATCTCAGCAAAAATGATTGTGTATATTTGTGGATTTGTGTGTTGTGTGAGGGATGAAAATGAAGAAATATGTTGCACCTATTTCACGTTTCTTGCCCTGACAATTTACTCAAGATTTCAATTGTTAGTTGTTAAAAATAATCAAAACTCTATTTATAGTAATAACCAAAACAGCCAACAAAACAGATTTTTAAACACAGCAAGAAAAACAGCACAGCGCGCGAACGGTCGACCATAGGGTCGGCGTGCACTGACCCGTGGGAAATCCTCAGCTCCATGCGCTGAGTGGCATGGTCGACGCATGTCTTCATGCGCTGATCCGTGGAAAATCAAAACACTCATGCGCCGACTGTACGGTCGATGCATAGCTTCCATGCGCTGAGCCGTGAGAAATGTCAAGCTTCATGCGCCGACTGTATGGTCGACTCACTGCTTAGAAACCTGCAAAATTAACAGCTTTTTCCATTTTGTGCATCCTGCCACATTCAGTCATGACACATATTAAGGTATAATGATTTAACAATGAAAAAAAGGTATAGCAATGAAAACAGAGATATAGCATGATGCTTCTAATTTGTTTTGTCATCATCGAAAACTCGGAGGCCTGTATTGTGAGACAACTTGCCCTCACATTCTCCCCCTTTTTGATGATGACAACCTGTTGAACACAACATGCGATGTCTTTAATCATAGCAGTACGCTCTCCCCCTTTCTTTTTCAGTCAAAGCATTTGTGGTGGTTGACGCTTTCCTCCCCCTTTGACAACATCAAAAAGAAACCGAGAGCTATAAAGTCTTGACGGATTAACAATATAACTAACATAAAATCAAGAAAAAGCCATAAAATATAGCCAACAGATAATAATTAAGCATACACCCATATTAATACATAAAATTGATAAGAAACATAAAGTAGCAGCACATAAAGTCTTGACAGAAATTAGGAATTAAACAAAACACCATAACAAAGTTTGCAACCAAAAACAACGAAAGAGACTATGATGCATGCACTCAAAACAGCAAATGAAACCATAATAAGGCGAACACAAGCTAATAACCCCGTCCACGTCCACGACCACGGCCACGCCTCTCATAGAAATAGGGATGACGTTGAGGATGAGCCAAATCAGTGAACTCTTCAGTGATGTTGTTCAGGAAGTCGAGACTCTCAGTAATTGCCCGTTCTTCAGCTTGATGGGAGTGAACGAGAATCTCAAA